GACGCGGCCTCCATTAATCACCTCGCTCGTGTTGAGCGAAATTTGAAGCGGAGGAAGCTGCGATGAAAAGAAAGTTCACTAAACAGGGGAAAGGAGCTGGTGAACTTGTGCGAGTTATTTCGTTGCTCAGAAATGATTCGTTCCTCTTTATTATTATTATTTTTATTATTTTTATTTTAATAACAAGTATGTACTTCGTCTGTACTCTTGACACTCTTGGTAGACACTTTGTGCAAATTCGTATTTAAAACAGAAAAATTATTTTACACGTCAGTTCGTCGATAGTCGCAACAATATATTGAAAGAAAATAAAAGATAGATCATAGTAGAAATTTTCATCTTGTTAAATGTGAGTCATAGTTGAAACAATTAAACGTAGGCTCGTAAATTTAGGAAATTTCACAAATGGTAGAATTTACGCAAATTTAATTCAGAGAAGATTTAAATTAACGATTTTCGGAATATAACGACTAACAGTCTCAACTCTCTATTGTCAGCGATCAAACGTAGCGATACTACTAAGAATGCCTTTGTTCTCGCGTCTAAAATAATCTTCGGGAGCCATTGGAGTGGCGAAGGGGTGGAAACGTTAACGAGAAACTCTGCGAGACATCCTCTGAATTTTACATACGCCCTGTACAAGCCAGCTACACGGCACGAGCAGGTACACCATCGAGGAACATTGTCTTAAGTTTGATGTTCGCTGTTCTCGTGAGTTTATGATACGTCAATCGCTATTGAGAAGCAGAATAGACTTCCAATAGACTTCCAAAGATCTAGAGCCAGAACTTTTCAACTTCTTCATATACGTAAGGGGACACAGCATTTTCAATATTCTCAGGAAACACAACTCGCATGTTACACTTGTTTTCACGAGTGCAAAAAAAAAAAGAGTACCCGATTTCGAATTGTTTATTTAATAATCTTAAATAAGTTTTAGTTCGTTGATCGATTGATTCGAAACTAACCTAGAGAATGCCAAATGTACAAAAACTGGATATGAATGTCGAAATCGAGACAAGTCAAAGTTTAATTGTCCTTGAAGCAGTTAAAATGCAAGCTGTAAATTTAAAAAAAAAAAAAAA